AGAGCTCAAATCTAAGGGAGCATTATGGCCAAATAACCTGCCCCCTGATTAAGCCATACGGGAATTACTGTTTCCTTTTCCTTAGGCTGCTCACAAGGAGAAAGTCAATCCTCTAAAAACAAATTGATTGATGATATAATTTAATATCTTCATATGATTTCTAGTGGCAGAATCAATCTGCTGCCAGCACAACCATCCAAGGCAAAGGAAAAGAAAAATTGCACCAGTTGCTTTTCTTCTATTGCACTTCTGGGTGCTCTAAGAAAAAACTCTCTCCAGAAAATCAATAAGGCAGATTTTGATTTCAATAAGGGGACTGTGCCCAGCAGTCCCCCATTACAGAATTAAATCCATATGACAACACAAAACAATGAAGAGACCCAACTAGCAAGGGATCCATTTGCTTTGTTTGACTTTGGCTGCCAGGGAATGAGACCACAAGACTGGCTGTAATTTAATGCAAACCTTGGCCTATCCTGGTTGTGCATATGACTGACCCTTAGGGCACGACCATCAATTTTCTATTAAAGATCAGAGATTTGACATATCAAAGTCAACATCTAGCTGAATAACTGCAGTAACTTGATAATAATTCTTTTGTGGATTTCACAGTGGCTTTTCAGTAAAGTATCAGAAAGGTAGCTGATTTCAATCCTGACCTGGCAAGATCTGAATATGAAATAAAGGATTTCAGCTTGATCTCCCCATGATGTGAGGATGAATGTTCTGGTAAATGTTAACTTAGTGCTCTGAGTAGCTCAGTAATAGATGGGTTTAGGCAGTAATAGGTTTAAAATGTCAACTTATTGAATAATAATTTCATGTTGTACAAATAGTATGCGTAAGAAGGGATTTGTTTTACAAATTTTGAAATAAATGAATGGATATATAATGTCCTTGACTGTTTCATTGTTCCGGTCAGAATTTTACAGAAGAATCAAAATTAGTTTTTTGCTTTCTCTGGTCTTGTTGTTTTCCTGCATTTTTCTCGATTCAGTTTTCGTAATTACTGGGCCTCTCTGAATTCTGGTCGTTAATGGAGTTCTTCCCTGTTTTGGTCCCCAAAGCCAGGCGGATAGCATTATTTTCTAGTAAAAATAAAAACTCAATTATCCCTCCCTATAAAATGTTTCATGACACCAATAGCATAAAAACCTTTCACCAACCGAGCTGTAAAATGCTCAACTAGTTCAAAACATAAGAACCGAATAAAATTCTGTTTCCATAACTGAACTCAGCCCTTCTGTCCAATTATAAGCTGACAGCTCTATAAATCCAGGTGGAACACAAGTGTGGGTAAAGCCGAATTGTTATTGGGAGACTGAGGACCTGGGGCAAACACCTACACCACAGCCTGTGGAAAAGGTCCCCAGATTCTACAACTAGCCCCATGCCCCCCCCCCCACACACACCTTCCAACCATTCTGTATAGAGTCAACTTCTTTGCTCAGGGAAATGGGAGATGCCCAAAAACCACCCAGGTAAGTTCTCTGAATACTTCAAGTCTGATTCTTTGGATCCTCAGCTTACCTCAGCTTCCCAGAAAATTCAGGAAGAGAAACCAAAAGGAGCCCACTCTTGCAGCCCACCAGTCTGGCAGCCTAGAGCTCTTTGTCTAATGCATAAAGGACATCTTGACTTCCACAAACCAAAACACCCCGTCGGTAGCTTATAGATGCTCACACTTGGGTGATACCTACATTAAATGGTCCTTGAGAGAACTGCTCAGTCGTTCAGCTCAGCAGTTGAACACATCACTCTCCACCCTGCAGCCACGGAGAGACCGTGTGCTAGTCTGGGTTGCCCCAGAAGCTCACTATAAAACAAGGATGTGGGTACTTGTAGCTTATTTGGAATGTAAAGAAAACATTGGTAAGGAAGTAAACGGGGAAACAAAGGCAGCCAATAAAGGGAGCATCATCAAACCAGTTAGCACCTTGGGTAACTGGAACTTAGTCCCACTGGGGACACTCTGACATAGTGTGGGAACTGAAGTATTTATACACCAACTCCCCTGTCAGTCATTGGTTGAGGCTGCACCTCAGGGGCACTCGTTCCTTGGCATTTCCAGCCTACTGTACAGTTAGGCAGGGGGCTTTAAGGACCAGTAAAAGCCCTCAGGGAAAAATATGCAGTTACTAGAAGCTTCAAGTCAGGCACTGTGTGCCAAAATAGAAAGCAAGGAGGGATGTGGGCAGGGTACTGAACCTCTGCTATAGACACTGGCCTTTTATTAACTTTTGAAATTTTCCTAACTTATTTTTAAGTTAATATGGCTCATGTAAAACAACAACATATTTAAACACTATGGAAGAGCTCAACTATTTTTCTAAAGACCCACTTCCTCCCAGCCACTCAGTCCCATTCTCAGGGAAAACCATTTTTTACAGATTCTTTTTTTCCTATATATAGAACCTATGTATTTAAACACATACACAGCCATAAGAGTTGGATATCCTTTTTTTGCTACACAAGTGAGGTCATAATGGACAGAATTTCCTGTGGTTTGCTTTTTTCAGATAATAATATATCTTGGACATCCTTGTGTATTAGTACCTTTATATTTGTATTTGTCTCAAACTTTTTAATGGATACTAACATGAACATATCATAATTCATTTAACCTATTCCCACCTGGTAAACATTGAGGTATTTGTTCCAACTTTTTTGCTATCAAAGATAACTCTGCAAACTTGTCTGCAAAAAAAAAAAATATATATATATATATAAGATTATACAATGAACATGATATATACATGATCAATTCCTAGAAGTTAAATTTCTCAAAAAGAATACACACATTTTAAGTTTTTTTAAAGATTTATTTATTTATTTATTTGTCTGTCTGTCAGAGAGAGAGAGCACAAGCAGGGGGAGCGGCAGGCAGAGGGAGAAGCAGGCTCCACAATGAGCAAGGAGCCCGATGCGGGACTCAGTCCTAGGACCCCGGGATCATGACCTGAGCCAAAGTCAGATGTTTTTAACTGAGCCACTCAGGCATCCCTACACACACTTTAAAATTTGACAAATCATGTCAAAGTAATCGCTAAACAACATTTCAGCAATTTACACTTCTACCAACAGTGCATGAATATATGTTTTTTTTTTCCTTTATCTATACCAACACTGGAAATGATCACACTTCTTAATCTTTAGCAAATTAATAGGTTAAAATAGTATATCACCGTCCTACTTTGTGCTTCTTTTATGAGTGAGGTTACTCGATTATGTTTCTTTGCAACTTTATATACTTCTTTCTAATGTCTTGTTAGCCTTTTCCTTAATGTTTTGTAAGTACTGTTTATAAGAAAATACTTTCCAAGTTTGTATTTTGTTTTTATTGTTGTTTATGGCTTTTTTTTGGCTATATAAAAGTTTATCTGTGTTTTCAAATTCCATATTTTTATGATCCTGGGTTTTTGTTTCATAGTGTGATCTTCCTCAGAATTATTAAAAACAAATTCAACCATTAGTTCTCCAGAACATTTACGGTATAATTTTTATCTTTAAGCTTTTAATCTTTTTTGTGTAGGGTGTTAAGTAGAAACAAGGTTCAAAAATATTTTTTTCCAGTGGTTATCCAGGGGTCTCCAAATCTTTTGCTAAATATATTTTCAGGATTGATTTGAAATATCTCTTTTATCCATAATCAATTACCATATGGATTTAATTCTATTTCTGGAGTATCCACTTTGTTTTAAATGTTATAGACCTATAATATAGTTTATTATCTGGGTGCCTGGGTGGCTCATTCGTTAAGTGTCTGCCTTCAGCTCAGGTCATGATCTCGGAGTCCCAGGATTGAGCACCGCATTGGGCTCCCTGCTCAGCAAGGGGTCTTCTTCTCCCTCTCCCTCTGCTCCTCCCCTGCTCATGTCTCTTTCTCGCTCACTCTCTCTCAAATAAATAAAATCTTTTAAAATATATATATATGTATATATAGTTTATGATCTGATAAGACTTGTCCTAATTCCTAGCATTTTTCCCTTTTTGTCCAAATGAACTGTAGTATTTTGTCAAGATCACAAAAAAGTTGGTATTTTATTGGAATTACTTGAATATCTCTATTCACTTAGAGAGAATTGTCATGTTTACAATATTTAGTCTTCTTATAGGATAATAAAATTTTTTTCCATTTACTAGTGTTCTTTCATGTCGCTAGCAAAGTTTGTTTTGTTGAACTGTGATTTTGTACCTCAGAGGCAGAAAGTTAAAAGGATAATTATTCTCAATTATAGCAAACTATTATGTTCTCCCCCTGAGAAAACTTAAAGTTTTCTTCATGTATTTCCTGCACCTTCCTCCTCGAATTTATTTCTAAGTAGTTAAACACATTCATAGCTTTGGTAAATGAGTTGTTTTATCCCATTATATTTACAACCTTCTAATGGTTACAGTGTTAGCTATTTATTTTTGTGTATTAACTACTGGATTCTCTTATTGTGCCTAAAGACCCCTCTCAGTTTATTATCTTGGATTTCCAAGATCTATAACTATATCAACTATAAATAATGACTTTTGAAGTCTATTCTAATATTTACACGTTAATTCTTTTTCTTGTCTAATTGCATTTGCTAGTACTTTTAAAATACTTTAAGCAAGAATAATGATTATTGGCAATTTGTCTTGTTCCTGACTTTAATAAAAATGCTTCTAATATTTAAAGAGCCAAATTCCAGTGAGATGAAATTTCTCAAATATACACATATATACAGCCAAATTCATTACTAAGAATGATGCTATTTTTTTTCAGGTTTTAAAACTTTTTATTGCATATTAAAAAAAATTGTGCATTCCAATAATTAAAATCATTTGAACAAAAAAAAAATGGCACTCTGATTAAACCGCATTTTACAGCCTGCAGGACACCCTGGACCAGCTTGGTTTTTACTCTCGATTTCACTGTCGTCCCACCCAGCTTCTTCCTTCACCAACATGCAAGTTCTTTTCCTTCCCTGCCAGCCAGACAGGCAGATGGGAGAGGCAGGCGCCTTTCGTTGTCAGTAGTTCTCGATTCTTTGATGTGAAAAGGGGTAGCACAGTCATTTAAACTTATCCAACCACTTTGCATCTTACAAAGTTAAACAGCTAAAAGAAGTAAAATAAGAAGGCAATGCTTGTGGAATGTACAGTGCATATGGGCGGCGCGCGCCTCATTACGATTCGCCGGCTTGCTTCTCCTGTTCAGTCGTTTCTTTTGAAGGCAGTGGATTTTTCTCTTGCGTTTCTGTCTTCTTCAATTTCGACTTATCGAATTTCTCAATCTCAGCCATATCGGGTTTGTCAGACATGGTTGCAGAGAAAGTGGAGCGAGGTGCGCGCACAAGTGAAGTCCGATCCGCTCAGTGGCCGCCGCCGAATGAGAATGATGCTATTTTAAACTAAAATATATATTTGTATCACATTAAGGGAGAATCCATCTATTTCAACCAAAGAGTCTAATTCAGGCAAAGATGTTTAATTTTTCTAATTTCTTTTCACTATTTTTAAAATGTCTTTTCTCTTTTGACCTATTTATATGGCAAATTGTATTAACAGACTTCCTAATAATAAATTATCCTGGCATTTCCTGGATTGAATCGATTTAATCATATTCTTTTGCTGTTACTTGGATTTCATTTGCTGTATTTTATTTAGGAGAGTGCTTTTAATTCACTAGTAAATCTTATGGGTTTTTTCCCTTTTTGTGCTTTCCTTGAAAAATCTTAGGACCAGTGTTTTGTATTTTCTTAAAGCTAGCAGAAGGGATAGTTCCCATTTTAAGAGGTAATCTTAGACCAGCAAAGGAGTCTCCGGAGGCCACATGATTCCTCTTGACATGACCTCAAGTATATATATGGCCATAGTTCAATTCCAAAATATGTACTGAGTACCTATATCTATGTGAAACTATGTAAGTGGGAATTTGGCTCTTAAAACCAGTATCCAAAGGGGGGAAAAAAAACAACCTCACATACTACTATATCAAAATTGTTGAAAAGCATTTTCTAATTGTCTTGAAATTTAAACTGAAGCCCAAAGCAGAAAATAACAAATATGCATACAGTAGCTACAAAAACCATATACATCGCTGAAATACTTACTACAAGATAGAAAAACTAGGGCTTTGACCCAAATCCAGGCTTATAAGAGAACTCAAGACATTTGAAATGAATATTGAGCCACTGAAGTAAAAAGCTGTCAACTGAGTCAGCAGGTCTGTGGCATTTCCCTAGCTCTCCTCAAGGTGACCTCTCATAAGCCAAGTGAGAAAGGAGATTCAAGAAAATCTTTTGTGGAGAATGGGTGTTGTTTTCCAGAGGAGACACTGACACATTAACCTCCAACAGATATACTGAGGTGCAGGGATTCTCCAGTGTCCCTGGATCAGAGCTGAGCTTGGGGCACTTCCTGGGAGATACTGACAATGTCCCCAAGGTAAAGAAAAAAACTTGTGTAGACCATAGTGACAAGAAAAGACAGTAGCATGAGTGGTTTATCCTTCCAGAATTTGGTGGAACAAGAATGCTGTGTTTTCCTCTGAACTAAGGGGTCATCTCATTAGCTACTATTTTGAAAGGTTTCTACTGAAGGAGGCTACCTGCCAGAGCAGAAATCTACCATCCTAAGCAAGAGCTAAGATTTGTAAGAGCTCAGCTAGAGAATGGATTTCCAACACTGAGTATCAGCGGAGTGCCAGAGATGCCCACGGGGGTCTCCAAAGAACCTGCAAAAACTTATCAGTTTGAGAGAGCCAACTTTCAGCTATTTGTCACATGGAAGACACCACAGCCAGATTTCATCTCCACCCACCAAGTACAACACTGCCCTTTTAATTCTCATCTGATCCTTGACCTAGTACAGGAGTAGCTAGGAACATGAAGAGTAGATGAGTAAGGCAGAGAAACAGTGAAAGAACAAAACACAACACATCTTTCTCTGCCAGTCTACAGATGTTTCAGTGGGGCTGAAGCTTGGTGGGAAGTGGAAGAAGGGAGAAGTTTGGAACTGGGGGAAAGAATAAAGCTGTGGTTTGAACTGGACTGGCCATTTTAATGCCTTAACAGGGAACAACTCTAAAGCTAAAGGTGACTGGAAAGGCTATGTGATATGGCCAAATTATTGCCAAGTTGTGAAGGAGACCCAACAGTTCATATCTGAAGGCAAAGGTGAGGCACATGGCATAGTCGAAATTAACCCTGAACATCTCAGGAGGGTTTACATCAGAGACTGACACCCTCATCTTTCATTAATTCCAACAGAACAAGTATTTTTTCCAGCACTGGAACAGATTGCAGCTATTTCCCTGAGCACAAATGAAGTAGTTGGCAAAGCTTACCAGCCATGTTGTAGGAAAAATATGTACCTTTAAACACCAGAATCATACCCAGCACAGCAAGATGCTCACACTACAAGAGGCATAGAGACACTGGGTCTGTGTGAGAGAATGAAAGATAAAAGATGATGGTCTCCCAAATACTGTGTATTCCGGACCAAAGACTAATTAAATGCAAGGTGACTGGCATCACTTACTTGCCCTAGTTAATTCAATCTCTCCCCTCCCCACCCCACCCCACCCCACCCTGCCCCAGACCCCTGCATCTGGATAGTAAGATTCGCATGCAGTACAATTCCACTTACCTCACTTTGAAAAGACCCGAAGGTCAGCACACACTTCTCAATGAGTTCCCAGATAAATGAGAGAGAAAACTGTGTAAACAAATGTGTAACAAGTCCTCTAGTAAAGATAAGCTTAAGATCCAGTGGAGATACAAAGGATACATTCTGGTCTTCACCTTGAGGAAGACAGACTTCCCAAGAGAAGGAAAGCGGTCTAGCCCAGCCCCACCACACTGAACAGGCAGTGCCGACGGCCCAGAACAATATCTCTTCCTTCTCAGTTTACTTGGAAAACCACCACTTAAAATTGATAGTAGCAAAAATACCTTTTATTTACAAATGGCCCTTTCGATGGGTTGGATGAGAAAATCCCCAAAGAGGTTGAGTCTTGCACAAAGGCATTAAAGTGGCAGGTTTGGGAACCCAGACTAGACCCAAGTGTGCTGATTCCATGCTCCACACCTCACTGCTTCTGAAGTAGAGAGCCATTAATAAAAATTTTAAAACTTATTTCTCCTGGAATAATATTGTATTGACAGTAACTATCATCAGGTACTGACATAACTATAAATAGGTTTTTGAAATGAATTTGCAAAAATTCAAGGATTAGAAGTCCATAAATGAATATTAATAGAAGCATAGGACTGATGTCAAGGACAACCATGTCTATGGGAATTTTGGATCTTTTTGTTTTCAGCTTCACTGAGGTATAACTGACAAATAAAACTGTAAGATATTTAAAATATATATTATGATGATTTGACATACATGGGCGTTGTGAATGGATTCCTCCCATGTAGTTAATTAACACATTCATCACCTCACATATTTATCTTTGTGTGTGTGAGAACATTTAAGTTCTACCCTCTTAGCAGATTTCAATCATACAATACAGTGTTTTCAACTATAGCCACCAAGTTATACATTAGATCCTCAGACATTATTCATCTTATGGCTGAAAATCTGTACCCTTTTACCAACCTCTCCTTATCTCCCTCACCCCCCAGCCCTTGCCAACCATTTCAGGTCTTTATTCTCAGCCCCAGAAACCAAGTTCAGAAGCACTATGGCAATCCCTTTGCTCTCTTGGTGTTGTTCCTCCAACCACCCCAGATACCACTTCTGCCCGCTGACTTCCCATTTACAGTACACTTGAATAACATGATCCTGGGTTAGGATTCTCTGGTTAGTACAGAGATAGTGTAGTGTGACAAGGCTCTCACCTAGAAGTCAGGAAACTTGGATTCTAGCACAGGCTCAGCCTTAGACTAACCAAGTGATTCATGCAACTTCTTGGGGCCTTGGTTTTGTCATCTTTGAAACTGAATTAATAAGCACCAACTAATGGAGCACCTGTGTGGCTCATGGTTAAGCATCTGACTCTTGGTTTCAGCTCAGGTCCTGATCTCATGGGTCATGGGATCGAGCCCTGCATTGAGCCCCACATCAGGCTCCATGCTCAGTGGGGAGTCTGCTTGAGATTCTCTCTCTGCCCCTCCCCCCAGTTGCACGCACACACACACACACACACTCTCTCAAATAAATGAATCTTAAAAAAATTGGATTGTTTAAAAATAAATAAATAAGCCCCAACTAAGATTTATCATTACGGTCTCCGAAATCCAGATATCCCACTGATATCTTCAAGGTCTTTACCTGCTGTCTTCAGGGATACAATCAGGAATCTGACAAGGACTGTGCCAGCCTGAGAGCAACATTTCATTACAGGCCCAGTCAGCAGCACTATAGAGAGAGACACCCTTTTCCTCCTCAGGTGGTAATTGGTAGAAAGAGCATTAGAAACCAGATTTTCTGACCCTACATCAATTCCTCTGCCCACTCTCCTCCCAACCCCTTGGCATAGCATATAAGGGCTCCACTGATTGACCTTGATTTTCATGTCTTGCTTTCAATCTACATAATTTTAAGTTATACTTTTTGGCCTTCATACCTTGCCTTATTCTCTTCTTACCACTCATATGCCTTTTCTAGCTCACTGCTTAAGATTTCCTAATGAAACCCTGATTGTTCTTTATAACTCAACTCAAATGACAGTTCTTTCGTGAAACCTTTCCTGAGAGTCTCGAGGATGGGCTCTCTCCATTTTTTACTTCTCTCAAAGCATTTACCACTTCTTGCTTTGTGTCACAATTGAGTGCCAATAGATTGCAAACTCTGTGAAGTCCTTGCTTTTACCCCAGTACCCAAAAGAAAGCCTTCCACAAATAGTTTCAGTTCCAAGAACACACAGCAACAATCAAGCCAGACTTGGCTTTGCCAGAATAAAAAACCAGAAACCCCAACATTTCACTGGTTTTACCCAACACAGAGTTATCAGAATCTCACACTAAATGTCCAGTGCAAGTTATTAGGGGAGCTCGGGCATCATCATCTCTCAGGAACCAAGGCAGATGGAGGTTCTATCTCAACAAGAGCTTCTATGATCCCTAAGGCAAGGGGCATGAATGTGGAGAATCGACTAAGTGCTAGCTCTTAAACCTCCCACCCAGAAGTAACCTGTGCCATTTCCTCTGACATTTCACAGGTTAAACCAAATCATATGGCCGTGCTTACCTTTAGGGCAGGATAGAGAAGTGTGACCCTTCATTGTGTTTGCAAGAAAGAGGAAAATCAGAATATGGGTGACCATCTTAATGACACCACCATACACAGCATGCTGTACCTCACCCTTGACTTTGACCCATCTTGTTGCCTGTGCCAGGACATTCTACC